GCGGCGGGGAGGCCGGGCGGGCGCGGAGGCCCGAGCGCTGCGGTTCGCGCCCCTGGAGGAGCGGCTCCTCTCCCGCTCTTCTGCCTTGATTCTTCAGCGCGTGTTTTCGTGAAGCAGCCTCCCGCCGCCCTCCTAAATTAAGATCTGAAGTTTCTTTTCTCCCTCCCAACTGCTAAGCAACTTTGGAGATGTGCATTCTGAGGCCTCTTTTCTGTTCGTTTCCCTGATAAAGTCTTCCTGCGGCAGTGTGGCCCAAATTAGAAGACTCAGTTCGAAAGACAAAGCCGTTACTCGCTGGGAAAGTGCGTTGCTTTGGGTGGGTCTAGGAGGGCGCCAAAACGGTGGCTAACAAGGGAAGTGATTTTTATTTGCATTCTTTTTTAAAAAGTTTTTTCTTTTAAAAATTAAAAAAACTAACAAAACAACAATGGAGACAAAATCAAAACAACGCAAAAGCGATACATGACCTCAAAACAGAATGATAGGCATTAACAATGGTTGCTGCCTTATATACTGTTATCGTCAATGAAGTTCTCAGTCCACCAGACATAAGAATGTAAGATTCATCAAACTGTCAAAGACGGTAACAAGTAAAAAAAAAATGCAAATGACACAGAGCTTCATGGTACAAGATGGTAGGAGTTCAGCAATGGGTCTTATACCGCATATTTTTTTCAGATCAGTCATTCTGATTACCAGATTCAAGTGTGCAAACTTGGTCAAGAAAAAAAAAATTTAAGCACTGACTGTTCCTTTCAATAAACCACAGACATCAGCCATGCATCTATCCCAGCTATCCTTGTATATACATAAAAATTTTGTTTTTTGTTTTAAAGAGAAAAAAAACAATAATCTCGTGTGTTCTATTTGTTTACACGTGCAGTTTTAGATTGTGCATAGTGTTCTGATTTTAAAAGTTGCTGCCTAAAGTGATTATGAATCTCTTCCCAGTAACTATTTACAGGCAGCAGAGATGCTAACGTTTCACAAATACCTCATGTTTCTATTCCACAGTATTGGGTAAGGTCATTTGGATGATCCTTTAAATATGCTATTA